GATAATGACGACGTCCCCAAGCAAAGGTATGAAGTCTCGAAAGAGGAAACGGGAGGTAGAGGAGTTGAGCAGCCTGTCGGCGGATGCTGTCTCTGAGAAGAACTTCAGGGAGACTGCCCCCATGATCCTGGCGCGGTGGAAGACTGCAGCCTACAAGAGTAGCTCCGAACCAAGGAAGCTAGCCGAAGTGGTGAACGAGATAGAGGTCTCGACAAGTCCGGCAACGGAAGAAGATTTCAAACCTCAGAAGGCAGGCTCGAAAAAGGGTTCGACGCATGGACAAACATGGGAAGTGGATGTTGGCAAAAAATGGATCTCGAGCGAATATCAGGCTATTGGCAAACAAGTGACCCGCGACCCTCTTGAGAAGAATGCGACAAGGAATACGGGTCGAGCTTGGTGGGTGGCCCTAGAGACGATGAAGGAATTGGAGGACTGTCTGAAGAAACTCGATCATGGGTTGTTCCGCAAGCGTCGCAATTGGGCTACTCAACAAAAAACCGAGGTCAGCAAGTTAGAACTGGGAAGTCAGCTAAAGTGGGCTTGGCAGAGCTTGTTGCGGGAACACTTTGAGGAGGCGATGAGAACACCTTCGTCCGCATTGCCTCTGATGGCAAATCCCTTCGTTAGAACAGCGGGGCAGCTGATCTTCGCGTGGAGCCTAGTGGGAATAGAATTGGAGGTATTGACTTCACATGATAAATTGAAATTGGGCAATGAAAGCCTAGAAATCTACCAGATGCTGGTACAGCATGTCGCGAGAGATAATTCCGGTTTCAATCTGGCGAGAAGAAAAGATGCCACTTGTTTCTTGAGGTGGATAATGTCCGTAATGACTAATAGTACCGTCCAAACTTGTCATCAGAAAGCCATGGGGAGCAAAACCATGGAGAGAAGAGTCTCCACCGTCATACTGAACGTGTACCAGAGTACAGGAATCGAGAAGGAAGATGACTCGAGGCAATCTCAAGAGAATCATGGGAAACTTGTTGAAATACGAAGATTCCACAACAAGAAATTTGAAGAGGGGCATGATGTGCAGCGTAACTTGCTCTTGGCTGAGGATTAGTCTAGACCCAATAAAAAGGGAGAATATCAATACGTGTCTGGAGTGATGGGAATAGCGTACAACCCTTTCTTGAATTCAGAGGCCGGGAGCGCTCACAGGAACCACGAGGTGACGGAGCTTTTGAAGTTTTGGACAGAGAAGAGAATCGTAATTGATTCAACGGAGAGGGAGAAACCGAGCTACTTGAGGCGACACCCAAGGTGATAAGCGTACCGCGCTCGAGCAAGAGAGAGGAATTGAGAATGGGGAATGGAAATGGCATGATGACTACGAATTTGGGAACAGGTTGGAAATTGCTGAGACACTCCTGGTGTCCACAACTCCATGCGAACTTGATTGAAGAAGTCACGGAACGAGTGAGGCTAACACCAGCAAAAGACGAGGACCTGGGAACTTTGGACGTGATACACAAATTGATCCTACCAGAGAGTAAAGAGTGGGGCGAAGCAACGAGTAAGCTGGGATCAGTAAAGAAGTTGGAACCTGGCAGCTGTCTTGACTTGACGTGCGGAGGCGGAGGGCACACCTGTGATGGACGATCATGTTTCAGAATACAATCTTTCCAGAGAGAAGACCTAGTCGCTTGGTTTGTTGACATAACAGAAAGAGAGAAGAGCGAGGTACAGATAATGGCTGAGTGTTATACGAACACTACAGTGAATATAGTAACGGCGCTGGGGTTCTTCTCTAGAATATGTAGTCTGCAATCACTGGATATGCTGGAGTCTGAACACCATTTGGTGACTGCGTTAAGCGTGGAGTCGTGGCTGGGGCGTTGCAAACCACCCAGAAACATATCAGAGGGTGGAAGATTCGTCTAGAGGCGGAGATGGGATTTCCCGTGAGCGAAGCTTATGGTCTGCATGTAAATGCAAAGTCCTTGGTGTGATCAGTAATGGCCAACGTATGTGGGAGCCATTATCCATTACACATGGCAATGGTGGAGGTATCCAGCCAAAGAATACTAGTGGATAAGGCCTTTTCGGTACCCAAGTGCGTACGACTGGCTCGAATGTCGCATCATTCACATAGGCTGTTGAGGAAGATCCTGGAAACGGTGCCAAGGGCACAAAGAGATGACTTGAGTGAGATCTGGGGAAAAGAACTCTTGAGCTTAGAAGGCGAAAACACGAGTGATTTTGAGAGACAGAATGCCATCGGGAAGCAGATGAATAGTGTCCCAGCGCAGGAGGAAAATGATATGGCGCACGAGAAAATGATGGAACTAGAGCCTCTGCTGGAAGCCTCGGGAGAACGCAATCTCCGAAGCATAAAGATTACACATGGGGAATGCCCATGCCATTGCTTGGCACAGACAGTGTGGTACCCGGAGCATTCAAACCTCTGTTTAGTGTGGGATGTGGAAGAAATTCGGTCAATCGGATTACCCGATCACCAGCAGAAGGTGACCGTCTTGTTAGTAAGTACGATGTTGGCGTTACGATGGATCGAGGAAAATGTAACGAAATATAGGGAGTCGAAGATATCAACGGCGGAATCGATAAACGCTATCGATTATAGCAGAAGACTTGAGTTGTTCGAGACGGCGTGCAAGGTATTCGCCATACCCATGGAGATCAGGCACGTATAGAGCCGCGTGAGGTTCTTCCCGTGGCTTCGATTGACGTTGACGTCTTGGCTGTACATGGTGACGAAAGATCCCTTGAAGAAATATCAAAAGGAAGATCGGCAGTTCCTGGCAGAATTAGGACCGGAAGCCTTCAAGAGACCTCTGCTGACCCATTGAAATGTGATCACGACGGGTTTGAAAAGAGTCGATAGGGTGTCTAGAGACAGGGCCAAAGCAAGAGAATCGATACCGGAGGATGACTTGGCGAAGACCGTGAGCTTGAGCCTCCACAATTCTTTTTGCTTGAACAGGGAATTGAAAGTGAAAGGTTTTACCAAATCAGGCAATGAGGTTGCAGGAGCAGAAGGAGTGGATGCGATCCTTCGAGCAATTGAAAGCATGGGAAGAGATCGTGATCAGCTCTGATGATGAGGAAGCGCGGCTAAGGCAGATCACGGTGTCAAATTCATCGGGCCCTAGCACTTCGAAGGCTAGGAATACAAAGTGAGCAGGGAGCTCAATATGGGTCTCTTGAGTCTTGAGAGGGAAAAGAGGGGGCTCGAGTGTGAGTTCGGATGACATCCGAGGTCACGAAAAAGAAATTTTAACGAAACAAAGTATTGTTATCAATATGCTATAATTATTACATAAATCAAAATGTTCCATGACAATTTCCTGGTTGGATAGGTCAAAAGAAATTTCAAATCCTTAGCTTGCAAAGCAGATGTTAAAAGTGCAGGTGTATGCAGATTTTGATTGCCGTTTAGCGATAGTGTGACAATTTTACATGGATGTGAATTTTGGGTTGTAGATAAACTTAAGTCTGCTGCAAACTTCTGTGAATGACCACTGGCACTGTATCTTGAGCAACACTCAGTATTCGGGGGACTCACTGGCAGGCGGCAACACGCGATGAGCACATCGATCTTGAGTCCGGGGAGTATGTGCCAGTCGGTCATATTTGGAAGTTTGACCTTGAGGAATACGAACTACGTAATTTTGGGGTGGAATGTAATTTTTCAAAAAAAATTCGAATTGGACATGTCATGCTCAAGTTTCTCGCGACAACTGAAAATATCAGAAAAATTAGACCAGAGCAACAGATTTACAATTGCGGGAAAGTGGTCAACTTAAGCAGCGTGAAATTGCTATTCGCAATTTCCGACATCGAAATAATACGAGAGTAGAGCTGTCCTATCTTGATACAGAAAACAAAGAACATCGAAATTCAGTTGGACCAGAGTGAACCTTCGGTGGAAAGGTGGACAACCCAAGTGTCCCAATGGTCCAGAACCAAAACACCCTTCTCGAGACAAAACTTGTTGGATCAGAACTTATTGAATCAAACTTAATTCCCCAATTATTCTCAAGTTGCTTACTATCTTAGTTATCCCAATTCTCGAGTGTGCCGATATGTGAGTACTCAATTTAGTTTTCTTGAGTGTGTTTTATGATTGTTATGTCGAGGTAAGGAGAGTTTTAGGTTGATCCATCTGAAATGGATCAAAGTTTCACTGTCTAATAAAAAGTAACTGTACGGATTGTTCCGACCCTGTTTTTAACGGCGTTCGCGTTTTTTGGGTATTTTGAGACCTGAGTATCGGGACGTTCTTATTTTCTAGAGTGAGGGGGGTGGTATTTTGGTAGTGGCCTTTAAGCTGTAACGGGTTTTTAGTCTCATGTCGCAAGTGAACCGAATTAGCTCCGACCGCTCGAGGTAGAAAAACACAAGAGATAGTGTCCCTGACTCTTGAGCCAATGGTTATAGGGCCTATTTTTCTTTAACCTCATATGTGACCGAAGTAGGCGACTGTTACACGTAGTCCACTTCAATTGGCGCTAGTGTTTCTTAATTTTGATTTTTTAAGTTTCTAAAAGTTTTTTGTTTTAGCTCACTTCCTCTAATAGGTGTGGTCCCCATTTTTATATTTCCTTAATTTTATTTTTTTAAATCATTTAACTCTATCTGGTGAATTTACCATCTTCAAGTTCATTTTCTCGTCGAACTGTTGGAATAAAATTTCGTTGCTGCTAAGCATTTTTGGTCATTCTGGTCGAATGTCACATTGTATAAATTGGATTCAACAGAAATTTTCGAAGCCTTTTGTAATATCCTATTACTAAAAAGTTTTTCATAAAATCAATATGCTGTTTTCGAGAACTAATTTAATGCTGGTAGATGTGATTCTCGACTGTTTTTTGTGAAGTTCAATCTTAGAAAAAAGATACTTCGTCTTTGTATTTCCCGTATCATCTCTTCACTGGCTTACAATGCTACGCTTGCATTGTATCTCAAGTGATGCGAAGCTCTGGATCGTCTCAGTGTCAAAGTAATATGAATTTGTTTTTTTCTTCTAGAATTTAATGCACTAGTGAGCAATAAAACCGACAATGAATCTAGTTTCAGCCGTTAGAAACTACGTTGGGAAGATGATAGACGACTCGGGAGTAGGTGTAATGAAAATTTTGCTGATGGACAAAGAAACCATTTCAGTCGTCAGTATGGTATATGCCCAATCTGAGCTCCTTCAGCGAGAAGTTTATCTTTTCGAGTTGTTGAATAACTTCAACAGAGAGCCAATGAGACATTTGAAATGCATTTGTTTCATTCGACCGACTCGGGAGAACATCGAAAACTTGTGCAATGAGTTAAGGAATCCCAATTATAACCTGTACTTCATTTACTTTACAAATGTAATCGACAAAGATAGTCTTAAACAGTTGGCAGAAGCAGATGAGCATGAAGTTGTTAGGGAAGTTCAGGAAGTGTTCGCAGATTTTCTTTGCATGGCTCGACACGTATTCTCTTTCAACATAATTGGGTGCTCGAAAAAGAACAGATGGAAGCACGATGTTTTGCAGCGATGCACATCTGGTTTGACGTCTCTGTTATTAGCTCTGAAAAGATGTCCGGTCATTAGATACCAAGCCAGTTCAGAGATGGCAGATGAATTGGCGAAATGCGTTGGTAATCTCATCTCTAAAGAGGCTGCGCTGTTTGACTTTCGACACACAGATGTTGCTCCTCTGTTATTAATTCTAGACAGGCGCTTTGATCCTCTGACACCGCTCCTTAACCAATGGACTTACCAAGCTATGGTCCATGAATTGATAGGAATTCACAATAATCGTGTGAATTTGTCATCTGTTCCCAACACTTCAGAGGAACTGAAGGAGGTAGTACTATCAGCAGAGCAAGATGAGTTCTACAGCAAATGCATGTTTATGAATTTTGGAGAAATTGGAAGTCAGATAAAAGAACTTATGGAAAACTACCAGAAAACTGCGCAAAGTCATCAAAAAATTGAATCTATATCTGACATGAAAACCTTCATAGAAAATTACCCAGCATTCAAAAAGATGTCAGGCACTGTTGCCAAGCATATAACTCTTGTCGGAGAGCTTTCTCGCTTAGTTCAAGTTAATAACTTGTTGGAAGTGTCCGAAACTGAACAAGAGCTCGCATGTCATTCCAATCATTCGGAAGCCCTACAGCACGTAAAAAAGTTGATCACCAATGATGCAGTAACTGATCTTGATGCAACACGTTTAGTCATGCTGTACACTTTGAAGTATGAACGGCATTCTAGTAACGACATTCCAGGTTTGATAGAACTCTTAAACCGACGCAACGTACCCGAAGAGTTCAGACGGGTAGCGGCAAGTGTTTTAACGTACAGCAATGCCAGTGTTAATGGAGTCCATCATCAATCTCTATCCGAAAGCCCAGTCGCTGCAACCAGAAGACTACTAAAAGGTTTAAAAGGAGTAGAAAACATCTACACGCAACATCAGCCGATGTTGAAAGAAATTCTGGAAAACCTTCTACGAGGAAGGCTGAAAGAGTCAGCCTACCCTTACAATGGAAACAATCCTGTCCGGGTAGACAGAGTTCGAGATGTAATCGTGTTTGTAGCGGGAGGAGTCACATACGAAGAAGCAAACACAGTTCACACTCTGAACTTGGCGAATCCTGATGTCAGAATTATTCTAGGATCGACAAATGTTCACAATACGAAATCTTTCTTCGAAGAAATTGCCGCATCTGTCAGCGACGGAAATGCATATGATATTTCGAGGTTTAGAGACTCGGAGAAGTTGACATAAACTCGCCCAGATACGTGGAAATTTAAATTTAAAAATGTATATTTATTGGTGTAGAAAAATTAATTGTTCTTTTATAAGCTTTCTTTACGCTTGCGGTCAGTAAATCTGTTTTCTCATGGAGGAACTGAGATTTAAAGTTTCGTCAACGCAAATTCAGGTAACTCAAATGAACGACGTAAGAGGTTTAGTTATATATCATATCGCAGCTGCTTCAGTCATGATTTGGACAGCAATTTAAAATTTCAAAAAGAAATCTGTGTCGCAAAAAGTTGGCATGTATTATGATCAGAAACCAAAAGAGCTTTTTTTATTATGAAGAACGTTTTTTTTATTAGTGGCTGTTTTAATGTTTGGAAACCAATTTTCTTAAATAGCAAGATCAATCACTTAGTAAATCTTGGTAAAAAACTGCTTTTGAAAGAACATATAAGAACATATTTTAATGGCTTTTTCTAGCATTTTTCTACTAAAATTGTTTTTCAGTTTGCTTAATTAACTGTGAATGAAATATATGCCTAATATCTGGCTTTTCATTCAGCTCCTTTTATCAAACGACGATGGAAAAAACTACCCTAATTTGAGAAAAATTGTTGTATTTTAAGACTATGGTCGGAACATTCTGTCCCAAGGTTATGGGAAATCTATTTGGTTTAAAACGCATAAATCGTAGGAGCTCTCAATCCAATAAAGTCACTTCTGCCGAGTTTTTATTAGGACATTTTGCTTAATTGCCTCTGAATGCTGGGAATCGCCAAATTCAGATTATTGTTTATTTTTAAGTTTCAACGAGTCTGGGCACAAGGGTGCAGCAGGGTTCTTGGCTTTTTGTTCTGACCATTTGAAAATTGGGGAGAAACTATGTTTTGGTTGTATTTTAGTTTTTTTTCACTTGAAATCAGGAACCACAAATAATCATCGGAATGGGTCGAGTGATATATCATATTGAAGCCCTTTCAATCGTGATTCGAACGACATTAAAAATTTTCAACTAAGCGTCCCAGTGTTCAGAAACACAGGTTTAAAGCTTTTAGTTTTTTGTCTTAATTCGAGCAAATAGAGCAAGCGAGCAGGCTTACAATAGCTTAATTTAAGCAGAGAACTTAGTATCACTCGAGTAAAGTTCGTTTTTTAGCGCCTTTTTGGATTCAAAAACTCAAAAAAAACTACAAATGTTTTTTTTTGTTAAGTAGTTTTTCGACAAAAATTGCTGTCCATTTTGCTATTTTACTATAGTGTAGAATATGTCTAAGCTCAGCTTTTTTTGGATACGTTCTTTTATCAAATCACGCAAAATAAACAACGCTTAATTGAAAAAACTTTTTTTGTAATTTTTCAAAGACTACGGTCGCAATATTCTGATCTACTTGCACCGTAACCGACTATCATTGATGCTGTTTGCATTTATTTATTAACTCACGATTGCATCTTTCTAGATCCGTTTCAGACCATTTTGCCAAAGTTTCGCCTAAATTGGAACCGTTACATACTGTTCAGCAGTCACATATTATCAACTGTGCCAATTAAGCTACAAGGGAAATAAAAAAGGAAACATTATGTTACTTAATGATTTGACCAATAGATGACAGAATAGACATTGAAAAGTTTTCTCTTGGGCTGTTCCGCTGAGGAACCCCTGGAACGCGGAAATCCTGAGGTTTTTGTGACATTTCCAGTTTTTCAAAGACATTCCAGAAAATTTGAATTTAAAATTTATGAAGTATTTTCAAATCAATCTGCTGTTTTTCTAGGACTCGAACTGCTTTTTTAGTATTATTTTTGGTCAGTTGTTTTACCACTGCTCTTCCAGTAAAAAGGAAAGAAAGACAATGGCAGTGAAGGGAAGAGAAGAAAGCGAAGCTCTTCAAGAGTCATCAACGTAGTGAATACTCTAATTTGAAATATCACTATTGATCCAGTTTTCTCATATTAGGTGGATGTTGTCAAAAAAAAATGTCAGTCGTGAATGTTCTTGCTAAATTCATAGAGCTCCAAGGTAATTATTTTTCTGCGAAAATCGAAATTTCAGTTTTAATAAAACAATTCGGTAGTTTTTCGGTTTGCTTGCGTTCATTGAAATTTTGCAACTGTCTGTCGGCTATGGTTTGATATATAGTAATTGAAATGATAAATTAGACAAGTGAGAAAAACTATATTTCATAACTTCACACTGAGCAGTCTCAGTTTAATTTAAATTCGAATCAACTGATCAATTACGTGATATCAGTGAAAACCGCATGTCTCCATTTTTTTTAGCCTAAGGAGATATGAATTTTTCATCTCGAGTCAAACGGAACATATGTAAATTTTATACAAACAAAGCCTTCTCTCGGATGGAGGTTCGAACCTGGTCACTCAGTGACATATGCACTCGACTAACGTCCTTTTTGTTGGGAAAATTGAAAGTTTTTGATGTATTCTTCTCGACACTAAAAGTGAGCTGAGAAATTATTAAGTGAAATTGTTTTTTAAATTTAAGTCGGTCTACCTTTAATTCCTCGTTTTTCGGGAAACAACAGGGAGTTCCCCCAGGAAACCGATTAGATATTGAAATTCCAATTTTATCTTTCCCTAACTTGGGAAACATGATGGAAAAAACCAAAGCAAATCTAAATTTGACTATGCGAGATCGTCTTTATACCCGCCAATTTCATCGTGCTAAAAACTTGCGGTTGCTTGTTGAAAGTAGATTGAGCTCGCTCGCTCGTCTGTAAGGGTGGCGCAAAAACACTGACTGCCAAAAAAAGCAATCCGCTTTAGCTGTGGGAATATTGTTTACCGTGAGTTGAAACTACATCAGAATCGTTTACCTCTTCTCTCCTCTGTACTTGAAAATCTGGAAAGACTTGCTTATTTATAAGAGTTAACTAGACGGATGTACTCAGCAGATTTTTCGATATTCGTTAGCAAGTACCATCAATGAAGAAAGACATTTAAAAACTTCATCAATCAATTACAAGACGTAGCGAATAAGTTTTTGGTGTCAAACAGCGCTGAGAATTAATCAAGATGGGTTGCTTTTTGACTATGGGTTGCTTTTTGTAAAGCGTTCGTGGCCGAGAGGACAGGGTGTTATACTCCAATTTTCGAGGTCGCAGATTCGAAGCCAATATGTATTAAAGTCTTACCAACTCGAGGCTTAATTCTATTTCTCTTATTTCACTTAGTAAAAATTTGCGGTTTGCATGTTGAAAGTGGACTGGGCTCGCTCGCTCGTCTGTAAGGGTTGCGCAAAAACACCGACTACCAAGAAAGCAATCCGCTGGAGCTGTGGGAATATTGTTTACCGTGAGTTGATACTACATCAGAATCGTTTACCTCTCCTCTCCTCTCTACTTGAAAATCTGGAAAGACTCGCTTATTTATAAGAGTTAACTAGACGGATGTACTCAGCAGATTTTTCGATATTCGTTAGCAAGTACCATCAATGAAGAAAGACATTTAAAAACTTCATCAGTCAATTACAAGACGTAGCGAATAAGTTTTTGGTGTCAAACAGCGCTGAGAATTAATCAAGATTAAAATTTCCTACTAGTTCAAGAAAATCGAATTGAAATAAAAAGTTTCAGGCTAATGTGGGGTTTCTTCACAAAATTGGGCCCATAGTAATCCATTTTGCCTTTTTCCTTTATGCATCTGCCAAAAATACTCTTAAGTTTTGCTTTAGTCATTATAACAATAACCAAATCATAACAATTGCAAAAATAGCCGATCGATGTGAAAGTTGCACTCAATGTATCGAACAGAGAAATTTAATGAATATCTAAAACTTTATCCAAAATGGAAATTTAAAATAATTTGAAATGAAATTCGTTAGTTCAAAGTTATAAATCCATTATTTTTCAATTGGTTATCTTTGTTCGGTGTATTGCTGGGGTTTTCTGGCTGCTTTTGACTACCTCAAATAAAACTCGTATGGCGTTAAATATGTTTCCCTATTAAGGGCCTTCAAGTGTGGCGAGAATAATTGGTCTTAGTTTTTCCGTGTTTCTGATCATATTTACGCGAAGATTGATGAAAGCCTGAAATCTCAATTTAATACTATACCACGCTACAACATTTTAGCCTCCTTGCATTTTTATCCAACTTAATAGCTTTTTACCAAAAGATAGAAGAAATTGTAAAAAAAAAATTGTAATGCTGTCAATTGAGTATATAATTTCGTTCACGCTCATATTTTCACATTGGTTAAGTTTTTGATAGTTTTGAAATCCTTTTTTTTTTCAAACCGTTTTTGCCTGTGGAAATCACGTCACGCGCCACTTTAAGTGCATTTTTTAAGTGTCAATGATTAGAGTAAAGAGACTTATAAATCGAGTTTATTTTTTTCAGTGAAAAATTTTATTCACTAACCTTTTTCTAGCTCAACTTTGATTGTTCGCGTTTTGAATAAGATTTTTTTTCATTTCAAATTAATTTGCGTAAAAGAAAGCACATTTTGTTCTAGATTAACAAAATTTCAAGTTGCATGAAAAGACATAATTTCTTGTTCCAAATGGATGTTATTTTTCCGAATTTCTAGCAATGTCAAAAAATTATCATTCGATGCAGTTTTCTTAACTCTTTTTCCTAACTTGGTTAGTTTTATTACACTAGTAGTACCTAAGGTGCAAATACTGGTTCCATTTTTAGTGGCACTTTTACGGCTTTTTGATAGCATGTGCTTTGACAATCGAATATAAATAAGTTAGCACATTTGATGCATTTGTAATTCATCAATTGAACCGAAAAAAGCTATTTGTTTCAAAAAAACACGAGTCATAAAAAGTCGATTTCAGAATTTTTCTAGCCCAATTCATCTCGAAAGTTTTTGAAATGCATAATTTATACATAATGTGGCTTTATGTTTTCCAATTTATTACATGAAAAGTTAGTGGGGATGCCTTCAGTTTGTTATGTTCCAATTTATTACTTGCCAAGTTTTGTCTATTTGTATTTGGTGTCACTTTGTCTGCAACGCATTGGCAATTTTTTAGCATATATAGCTGCTTTATATGTGACTATGGGTTGCTTATTGTAAAGCGTTCGTGGCCGAGAGGACAGGGTGTTATACTCCAATTTTCGAGGTCGCAGATTCGAAGCCAATATGTATTAAAGTTTTACTAACTTGAGGCTTAATTCTATTTCACTTAGTAAAGCGGCTTTTTTGTCGTGTTCTTGCTAGTTTTTGCGAAGCGCAGCTTCGCCTCTATGTCATGAAATTGTCAATCCTAAAAGAACTTGAAGGTTATTTTGTTCGTTAAGACAAGTTTCATATGTACATCTGTTGTATATGTTTTTAGAAAGCTAAGTTAGAAAATACTATTAAAAGTTTAACATCGGTATATGTTCAAATCAGGTCAAAAGTTAGACGCAGCACTATATCAAGGCAAGAAAAATTTTAACCTGTATGACAAGTTATCTTCATGAAATTCATAAGTCTCATCAAACTAGTCGCATACAATGGGATAGGTAAGTTATTTGATTTTGCAATGAGTTGTTTCAATCGGAGAAACTACAGTACTCGCTGATTGGACTAGTAGCCCCGTAGCTTTCAGTGGAGTCTACGGATAACAGCCCTTTATTAGCCACAGACCAGTTGCCCTGGATACCGTGTGAGTTCAAGGTCAACTGGTCGCTGTCCTGACTGATCATATTAGTAGTTCCATAATTAGAACACGTTGTCCGCGTGGTGTCCGTAGTGGACACACGATATGTATGATGGTCTGGGTGCAAGTATTGTGAAGTGTGCAGTTTGTGTATCTGCCGCAGTTTCTCCATGTTACAGCAGAGGAGACACAGAGAGATCTCTTTGAGGAGTTGAATTGAGGCGTTGAATCTGTACCGAAAGTGCCCGAATGAGCTGGCGTAAAGAATCGGGTTGACCACGCTGAAAAGTTCAGAAATTAATGAAAAACGTTCAGCTGTTTAGAAATTTAATTTGGGTGAATACTCAATTTATTGGCCGTTTAATTTTTATAAAAGGGTGTGAATTGTGAGAAGACAATTTTTAAGCTCTCCTTTCATACTCAAAAACAAAATTGGAAAAAGATATGTTTCAGACCTAAGAACACAGCCAATTTCATATTATTTAAAAAACTAGACGATAATTAGCAAATTCAATCATTCATTCGGAGAGAGCGAGAAATATTTACAGCGAAATCAATTAAATTACGAAAATAATTTTTTTTCAGTTGCGAGAGCAAGTTTGTCATTGAGTACTAAAAATTTTCCACCGTAAACAACTTTTTTTTTTACAAATTGTAAGTAATTGCGCTTGCCTTGTTATTGAACCTTCACGACTTTCAGGTTCTTTCCCACTTGGTCTAGAGATACCTTTGCATCCTAAGATCTAATACAGATCACGGAAGGACTTCCATTTGTTTGCTAGGGTTTTGTCGGTTTAGTTGCACCTCCATGAATTTTTCTTGTGCTGTAGACAATTAGCATTTTAGTTGTAAATGTTAGTTTGTAATTTTACAACCCTGACAGTATATTTTCCTATTTCCCCTTTTTGTTTTATTTCCACTTAAAAACGTTATTCGGTCCCAATGGTTGTCTTCAATATTTTGTTTTCCAATTTGTGACTCCTCCCAGAAGAACAGCGGTATAGAAAGTAATTTGAATAGTTGTGGGGACCAAATTTTTAGTAGACAGGTTTTTTCACATAAAAAGTGAAACTTAAATCATTTAGCAGACTTTTGGTGACAGCTTTGTGGAGGCAGCAAAAATTGACGTATATTTGATTGACTGAAATAAAATCTGTGGTTGAGCTTCCCTAATTAAGACAATTGTTTCACGGTTTTTCAACAAAGTTCTAAGCAAAACAAACTAGTTTAACGGCAAACACTGATTCACGCGCAGTGTTCCTCTCGTGTCTGATGTAAGCGCAACGGAGCAAGCCTATTTTACTTGCCAATGCTGCGTTGGAAGTTATCGTTCTGGCTGTTTAATTGTTTGGAGTCTGCTAAAAGCTGGTCTTCTGAAAAACCTAGCCCGATTGTTGAAGATAGAAAGGAAGAAAGAATTTTTTCTCCTAAATCAATTTTATACACTATCGTCAAACAATTATTTAGAAAGACACCATACAATAGCGTAGGAGAGTATAGACGAAGGGCAAAATAGATAGCCACTGAGAACTTACCCTTAAAAGTAAAGATATAAATGTTGCTTGATTTTAAATATATTCCTAATAATTACTTTTTATAGCTAAAATAATGAAATTCCTACGTTAAGGGAAACCCTAAATTTATCAATATGTCAAGATAAGAGTAAGGCTGCACTATGATTCCTTATCAAATCATCTCGCCGTGAGCGTAGGTTTAAGTGAAAATAATTAAAACAAAGATTAACAATTTTCCGTGATAAATTTCGAATGCTCAATCATTCAAAAGAATGAGTTAAAGAGATATCTGAAGTTAAAACCTCGCTCTTTTCAGATTACGACTTTTGCACAATATGACTTATGCAGTAGCAGTATAAAGTTAAATCAAAAGAAGTAAAAAAATAACTGTTCTTTGCAGTTTGTTTTCCAAATGTTTCAAAAACACCACTAAGTTTTTAAAAATACAATTTCTCTGAAAGTATGAAGAATTAGACGCCCATTTTTTCAGGATAGATTAAGAAGCTGAAGCTGAAATGAGCTTAAATTAGTTTTTTACCAGGAGTGCTTCTTTTTTTTGAGAAAATATTATTGAAATATTTTATTTACGAGATCACTGTTGGAACCTGATCTAAACTACATTTTATGATTGGATAAATTAGATATTTTACCAATGTAAAGTATTTAATATTAACCAATCATGATCCATCTAACTAACAACCCACTTATTTGTAAGTGCTGAAGTTACTTGTAATTTCAGCACCAGAGAGATTTGAATTTAACTTAGAAATTAGTTGGACTCTCCCGAGCACTTCAGCAGCCGCAATAAACCAGTATACCCTAGATCTATTGAGCCTAGCAGAGACTAGTTAAACAACCTGAGACTAGATAGTATAAGAGTAAGATTAGGATCGGTATTAGACTAAGAAGTTGCACGAATCTATCCGGCCGAAAATAAGATAGCGTGACGAGCAGACGGTGTACCCTATCCGAAATTACTCTATGAGTTAGCCAACTCGGTCCTAACTCATCTGGTGCGACCATAAGTCTCGAACAAGACCTTAATAGCTTAGAATTAACCAAAATAGATTAGAAATTAGACAAAAACATTTACAAAATGTTATACGACAATAATTTAATCGAAATGTCTCTACGACTCAATAGATCAGAGCCAATATTCCGAACCATAACAGAACTACCCGGAATTGGAAGAAGACCTCGAACCAGAGACGACATACGACAAAGTAGAAACTTGCCATATAACTATATGATAGTTAGGCAAAAACCAGAACAAACTTTTATATTTAGAATATTACTGGCAATGAATTTAGATTTTCATTTGCAAACATAAAACCTTGAAGTTAATCTTCAAAATCATTTCAGGCGCTAAACAAAATTATTAATATACAATAACGATTGATAAAAAGATCTAAGATCGTTTTCCTAAAACTGCAGTAATATATACAAAACATGTTTGAAAAATATTTATTGAAAAATAAAAATAAAAATTAGTAGCATGACAATAAATGGTTAGTAATCATAAATCATCCTGTTGTTCCAGCTCCATCACCTAAAACATAACAGCAATCATAAACCCACTAATATCATCAAAACACTAAATCTTTCCTTTACACACATTTAAAATTTTATTAAAACTTAAATTCACTTAATTTTAAAACCAGATCATCAAGGCTTATCCTTGGATCTTAAATCATTTTCTACTTAATTAAATTTTAAATTTGATCATCAAGGCTTATCCTTGGATCAAACAGAACAACTTTGTTCTCCCCCACCCACTTAATTAGTGTCTAACGACCTCAAACGTCGATTCACTACCCAACCCTTTCTAAAGACCTAAGACTAATAGAAATTTTTAAACAAAACTAATCATTCAAATTAGGATAAATAGTGAAGAACTTCGGTTATTCATCCTTCACTTGACCCCCCCTCTTACCAGACCCAGGATAAATCTTAGACTTAGTAAGTTTAAAATAGTATCTAACGAACTACTCGCGTTCTAATTATACCTGAACCTTGTGGATCGATTTACTATTCTCCAACCCTTGAACACAATCACTACCCCTAAGTAAGATTAAGTAAGTTAACACCTTAACTTATACTAGCCACGAGAAAGTAAAAAATCATTCTTCGGAATCGATATACTTTTCTCTCCAACCCTGAACAAATAGACCCAGGTTAAGCTAACCAAAAAATCGTAAGAACTAACAGTTTAGGAAAATAGAAATCATTTAACAACCTTTTGCATCCGTCATCCTAAACCTTATGTCATTTAAAAACCTAGGAAATAAACAAACAATCGTTTTACACAATTGTGAAATAGATAACAAAAAATACGACCTTGTAATCACACCTCATACACAAACAGTTGGATACATTCGAACAAAACGACAAACACTAAAAAGAAAAATAATAACGAAACAAAGACAAATAACACGAAAAAGATTTTCAAGAAATCGAGACGCATTTTCAGAATCAGAAACCAACAGTTTAGACGAACTTTACAAACTAAAAGAATCAATAGATAAAAATTGCCCACTTCACGATCAATTATATTTTTCTGACTCAGAAACAACTTCAAATTCATCAAAAAGAGGAAAAAGAAGAATAAAAAAGCAGTATAAACACAAACCAGTACATTTATACAGTTGGAATCAACCAATTCGACACATTAATAATTACATATTAACAGTCATCGAACGAAAAAATGAGCTCAACGCACACCCCAGGTGAAGAAAGTCCAGATGATGATGAAATCTTTCCTTTTATAGTAGATGCAACCACTGATAGAGGACAGCATATATTTTGCACAAATTTACTATTAAATTTATTTGAACCCGGAATCAGTCCATGTAAAACAGAGTTCCCAGATGTAAAAATCAAAAGACAAATCATAGATCACTATCTAAAAGATATATGCAACATAACACAACAGTATGGAATCTACTCCATAGAATTCACCTCACCAAACCATAATAATAGAAAATATACAATTCAAACAGACGATCTTGATTTAGAATTTTCAAAAGTTTTTTCAGAATATATAAAAAGCATCCAATATCATAACTCACAAAGAGCAAACTCCATATTCACCAATGAAGTTTTCGCAATAATATATAGTTATATTTCGATATTAGAAAACGAAATCCCAATAACAAATGTCTCACCGACAGAAACATCTAAACATTTAAGAGTACGACATGAAATCACACTACTCTCTAGTTATTTAAACATCATTAAAGAAAATTTCACGAAAGACGACGTTTCACAACATACAAAACACGATCTACAAAAAATTTTGGCATGGTTCATAATAGATTATTTCACACACAATATTGATTTAATTGCACAAGCAAGAAAAAATTTTAGACCCCAAAACTCGAACGATGATACCGCTATCACAGAACAATCAGATTATGTTTGGGACCCCGAATGGTCTCATCCCGCATTTATAAGCTTCCCACAATCAATCTCAAGTCAAGCAATAAGTACGATATCTTACATAAGAGATTATGTAAAAGTAATACCATTAACCATTGACGCAACACCATTAAACTATAATACATTTTTACCCGATACACAAAATAATAGTTTAAACTCTACAGTTATACACAATGAAAACCTCAATGGAACTAGGAATCTTACTCAACAAGATATCCAGACACCATCACACTTCATAAATGAAGAAATTGTACACACAACAACTACACAACAAAGTATTTCACCAATACGCCCAAATTTAACAACACCAAGAAATACAAATCCTTCAC